CTTCACTTGATCACTGTTTTACGATTAATTAATAATCTAAAATTAGAGTTCTCATCTGCACATATTTGATGCTCAATAATACCTCAAATAATATTTTTTTTAAGGAGGATATCTGTGTTTACAAAAGAAAAAAGAGTAGAATTGTGTGGCTTCTTTAGCAGCGGGCACAGAGTGAGGTCGCTGTTGGATGAGCTTAGTGATTGTAAGATACTATTTGTAAGTTGCAGATTCTGGGTGCAGCCGATTCTGTCGCATTTTCTACGAACAGGTCAATACATATCTGCAGATTTACGAGACAAGTTGCGTGGAGTACTAGCTAATGGCATTAAATAATCTTAGGAATATATATCGAGCATCACAGCACCTTCCCAAGTTGCAGAGTTTCTGCTTTGCATCTGTATATAACTATTTTGATGCTTCCATCACACCCCACTCTTAGCTCTCTCCTCCTAATTTCAAAGGTGTCTTCCTCCTATCTTGCTGTTTCCGTCATTCATCTCACACTGTGTCCTGTGTGTTTGGATCTGCAAGGGACGAAAACACTGTGAACCTCACTTAAAATTGGACCACGCCCCACGCGCACAGAAACACACACACTTTGTATCTTCATTTGTCGTGACTAGTACGCGATGCATTTATTAATTCTCCCTTGCTTCAAACCCTTCCCAGACACAAAGGCGAACATTCAAGGGTTGTAAAGTGATTTTGTAAGCTGAAATTAAACAAAAGGACTAACGTAATGTCACCATCAGCACACTCAGTAACTGCTTCTTTCTTTGACTGGAGTAATTTAGCAGCTTTACTCGTGAAACATGCATTAGATCACGATAACTAACAAAAACACTACTATTTTAAGCACATCTTCAGACACACACACATGAAGAATTTCAAGTATTTGTTTGAACCGATTTATTTAAGCGTTTACATTTAAATTGAGATAAAAAAAATTTTTACATATTTTTTTATATTTCATAAATTATAATTAAAAACTAAATAATTTGAAGGGTTAATTAATCTGCAAGTCCTTATAGTTTCAATCAATTTTGAATCAGGTCCCTGTAATTTTTTTTCTTTTTATCAAGTCCTTATACTTTTACCAGTTTTTAATTAGGTCCTTGTATTTATTTTTCTTTTTATCAAGTCCTTATAATTTTACTGAATTTTTAATCAAGTCTATATAGTTTTAATTTTCATTTATTAATTAAATAGATTAATACTGAAATATAAAATATTGATAATGAAATTAAATTAACAAGTATATAATAAAAAATAAGTAATATAATTAATTAATTTAGGAAATTTTTTTAGAACAATTAATATTTTCTTGCTGGCAAAACTTAAAATTATTATAATAATTTATTATTTTTAGAATATTATAGTTTATAAACTAATATTAAATAATATATATTATTTTATGTTAATAGAATAGTATTATTATAATTTATAAAATAAAGAATAAAAAGTTCAAGGATTTAATTAAAAATAAGGTGAATTTATAAGGACTTCATAAAAAGAAAAATAAATATAAAGACCTAATTAAAAATATGTAAAAGTATAATGATCTGATAAAAAAAAAACTATAAAGACCTAATTCAAAATTAGTTAAAACTATAAGGATTTACAGATTAATTATCCCTAATTTGAACTGTGTTTGAAAGATGATTAGCTATAAAAAGAGGAGAATCTTATGCGTGGAGTTCACTTCTCTGAAATGGCAATAAATGCAATTAAAATGAGATGGAGGGCATGTTATTGTTAAGCAGACAAAAAATTGAAATCACACCAACCTTCACTGAAAAGTAAGCTGACATGTGACTTCTTTAACTCCAAAATCCACACCTTCCTTGCCCCGTGGCCTCTCTCTCTTTCCGCGAACTTCCATTTTTTATCTTTTTGACATAAAAAGCCAACAGGCATCAATTTTTAACATTCAAATTATAGTACTCTCTTTATTTTTATTTATAAATTTTCAATTTTAAAAAATATGATTTATTTTATTTTTTTAATATTGTCTTTTATTATTTTTCTCTTATCATATTTTCTCACACATTTTTTATTTATTATGAGGGCATATTTAGAAACAAAAATATATTTCTAACATATTTATTATTTTTAACTAATTTTAACTAATTGTTTGTTATTCATAAATTAATTATTTGAAACTTATAATAAGGATCAAACGGAGTATTACTATATTCTTGATATAAGAGCTAGTTTAATATTATTTTGATTCTAAATATAATATCCCGATTTATTTTGTCTCTCATGTTTATTTATTTTTTAAGGTAGTCTTTGTAGTAGTTGTATATGTTAAAATTTTTATCAAATAGTAGTTATAAGTAATACATATGATCAGTAAGGATATTTTAAAATTACAAATAATTAATTTAACTAATCTTTTAAGGGCTAACACAACTTTAGTTTTTTAAGTTTTTTCTTTTTTTGGTTTTAACCCTTCAAGTTTCATACTGTACGTTTGGTCTCTTGAAAGAAAAATAGTCCAAGTTTTTATTAAATTAAATGGACTAATATTTCAAATGAAAAAACCTCGAGCAACTAAAATTTATAATTTAAAATTTAAAAAACTAAAATTAAAATAAGAGTAAATTTGAAGAAGGATCGTATGCCCGGAGATAATACATTCACGCAAACTACGTGAACATAAATTTCTGATCAATTATCAGCCGTATCAATCCCTCCTCATGTTCATCTTGAACTTTTAATACGATTATTTTATTTAAGATAAGTGATGGACCCATGGTTCCTAATTAACCCACAGCCAAGGATTACTATCAGTCACCAGTCAAGGGGTCACTAATTAACTGATAAGAACGGGAAAAGCTGAGACAGTTCAATGCCTATATTGCCCCTAAGAACTGTCCGAATGCACGCTATAATTGAGGACATTTTGGGGTTTCTGTGAGGAGGGGGGTCCACTTTCATGATTTCATTTGACGTACCCCATATATATGAAATTTTTGAATTGTGGATAGAGTTCGCCATCGGTGAAAGAGAGGTGAGAGAGGAAGATTCCTGGAAATAGGCGAAAAGCGAAGTCGTTTCTTCAGCTCTGCAGCTAAACGACAATTTGTACTACTATTTGTACCATTTCCTCTATTTCTTTCTCCCTAACGAAAACGACACTCGTCTTGTTACTTGTAAACCAAAATATGACCATGGATCACGTAATTATAATCGCATCGTGACGCTGGTTTTTACCTATCATTGCGAGCTCTATTCCATGATTAGCACCATCGTTCTTCTGGAAGCCATAAATCACGAGCAATAATCTATAATTATAATTAATCTCCACAGTCCACAGATCAGCTCCCTTTCATCCTTTGAATTTCCACTGTTTCTTTCTCCCCATTGCCACAAAACGACATTTGCGATCTTATCGGTTGTTGATCAAATCTGATTTGTGAACATTTTTTTTTTTAAAAAGGGGGGGTCATCGCGTTATTACAATCGCATCGTGACGTTGATTTAGATATAATATTGCGATTATTATTCCATGTTTGAGTTTAATATAGAAATTACGTGGACCATATCATTTGATTGATTTATTTCCACGTCGCCACTTTCTCTCGGACGTGGCTGCTCGGTGATCACTGATCACTGATCAGTTTTACATGTGTCCCTTCCATGTTTGGTATTTTGTTATAAATACTTTTCTGATACTAAATATGCAAATAAAATAGGTTTTATATTCGGAATTGAAAATTTATATATTTAGTGTTTTGATAAGAACAAGCTGGCTACCTTAAGAGCATGGTTGTTTTTTGAATGAGGTCTTATTCGGATATTAATATGTTTAAATATGCAATTATATTGAATTGATTGCAATAGCCAGTGTCCAATACCTCGGGCCAAGGTGTACAAAACAAAATGCCATAAACGTGCGGATCTGAGGTAAATAGTGTCATGTTCAAACTTGTCAATTATCATAAACTACTTCTATTACCAACGGGATTGGGTTTAATAGAAATAGCTAGTTCCTCATAATGTGACGAACTAAAATTTGAATCTTTATTAAGAGAAGATGTATTTATATTTAATATTTGATAGTGTTTCGAATGAAAAAAATAAAAAAAAACTGCTTCTGTTTCCTTTTGGATACTGTAAACCTAACATTTTAATGGCTTGTCGTGAAAATAATCTGACTTGAAGCGGAAGCAACCTAATTACACCCCCCCCATTTCGTTTGTATACGACAAACTTAGCTCTTGGCTGGGCAATTTTCCCAAGTCCACCTGTGCAAAAAGTGATTAACAGTTTTTAAAAAAATATTAGCTCGGATTCCAATTACAAGACATTGTTTGTAGACCCTCATTTGTAATTTACAAATAAAGTCTTATAATTAGGACTGAAAGTAGCATATTATTAAATTGAGTTGATATATGGTAACAATAATATTAATAATGAGACTAAAGTATATATTTGGTTTTTTAACTTTGTATAAAGTTTTAACCTGGTCATTTAACTTTAAAAAGCACACATTTCGTCTTTTAATCCTAAAATTATTAGACTTCAATGATAATTTTTTGTAACAATAATAGATATTTTTAAAATTAAACTTAACATGTTAGTATTTGAGAATATTTTATTAACATTTAAGATCTTAATGTTATCATTTTTTTAAAAAAATTTATAATTAAAGCACTAAAAAGCATATTTTTTAAAGTTAAGGGATTAAATTAAAATGTTATATAAAATTATAGTATTAAATATATATTTTAGTCCAATAATGATAACTGAGTCCCCGAGAGCTAAAATTTGGAGGCTGAGGGGAAAACAAAACCGATGACAACGTATTGAAACGTGAAACGGCTGAGGGAGGTCCCACGTTGACGGCGTGGTTTCCTGAGGCTGAGGAAATGCCCGTCCAATAGCCGCTCGGGTTTCGGGCTTAACTCGGACCCAACACCCGGCCATCTCCCGCATTAGCTCCGCTCTGTACTGGACCCGCCTCCCACACATTCTGTTGGGACTTCATTCTGCAACAACAGGGACATGGGAGGGCTCCAAATATTTGAGCTTTGCTTCAGGCCAAAACACCAAAAGGAGGAGTGAACTTTTGGTGAGGCCTGCAGAAGCATCCCAGAAGCAAACAAGCTCTGGATTATGGTTCCAGAGGTGACACAAAAGCACTAGTGCACAAGAAGACTTTTTGGAGTTTACTCATTTATTGTCATTTATTGGCTCCCCTGTTGATGTTATCAATCACTCACAAGGAGACTATATATATATTGGTATTGCTGTCTGGTTTCATTTAACATTGTTCCTCAGCCGCATGTTGCTTCTTTCCCCTGCGACCTTACACCACCCTTCTTCTTCTTCTTCCTCCTCCTCCTCCCTGCGCTGCTCTAATTCCTTCATGTCGAACAAGAGGCGTCCCGATGATGGCAAGCCAAAATCCGAGAGTGGCAGTCCCGAGGATAAGCGAAGAAAGGTTCCTGCTTTTACCAAGTATGCTGCTGCTTCTTCTTGTTCTTCGTTTCTCTCCTATCTTTGCTCCTGTGGTTGCGTTTCTGGAAAATTGCTAGCTTATGCGAGAAATTTTGCTGGAAAGCATTACTTTCCCACTGGAATTTGGCAGACTGCCGTCTGTTCGGTGGATTGTTCCCTAAGTATACACCCGAACTGACATATTATAATTGGATAAATATTTAATTGAATATGTGTTACATATACCTCTTATTTTATTTTTAAAGTGCTCATTTGCAACTCAAGTTTTTTTATGTGTTAATCTACTGTTTGCATACACAAACCCATGCATTTATATTTTAGCGTTCCAAAATGTATTGTATTTTGTACCGGGTCATGAGAATACTTGATAGGCTTGCTCAACATCAATTCTAAACTTTTTCTCCTCACAAGTGTTTCATTTACTGCCCATTTAATAGTTGGTCGCGATTACTTGATTTCTGCTGAATATTGTGCAAAATGGACCTGGGTATCATTTGTCTGTGCAGATATTAGGATCACAATATATTTCTACCACAGAAGATCAATCTAACTGTTGTTAATGCTTATGACAGACACTAAAAATGTGGATTTTCCGCATATGGAGAAATTTGTCCACATTTGATTCTAAAGAGGGAGCCCAAGACACTCTCAAGCTAAAAGTATACTTAAGAAATTTGACATAATTTTTTGATTCAGAGACTCAAAGCATTGAATGTGGAAATTCTTCTCACTTACACGCTCCTCTCAAGATTCCATCTTTTCTAATATAAATTCTCTTACTTACACTTTCAAATGAGATTTAAATTGATCCTTTGTTTTGAGCAGGAATCACTTAACATTTAGAAACAATTGACGCCATCATGTCATATATTTCACTAACAAAGCTTGTGAATTTTTTTGTTGATGCTTTATTTTCAGTGTGGTTCGTGAGGTGATGAAGTTACATTCAGTTCGGCATCTGCTGGAACCAATTTTAGAGCCCTTGATTCGCCGAGTGGTATAAAAATTATTTGTATTAATCATAATGGGTTAATTGCATGCTTTTTTTTTATTATTGTTTTGGTATGAAATACTTTTGCTCTGTACATGTTGCTTAATAGACATGCAGTAATGTTTAACCAACAGTAGATACTACTTCTATGATGCATTTTACTCACGTCCCAGAATACCTGTAAAAACAATGGAACTACATCAAATTCTTCCGCAGTGCATTCGCATGTTTCAAGCTAGATATTGAAAACATTTTTGTTCACATGAGATACCAATGACAGGTGTGACATATTACAGGTTAAGGAGGAAGTTGAAATGGCCTTGAGGAGACATTTAGCCAACCTGAAACGGTAAGAACTAATAAATCTGCAGATAGTCAGGGGAAAAAAAAAAGAAAGGGAAGAATAGCCAAATGATTCAGAAGGACTCCGTTGACTGCAGCCCTTCTACTCATATTTCCTCTACTTTTCCTTCAGGACATGTGGGAAGGAAATGCATGCTTTCGAATCAAGAAACTTGCAGCTGCAATTTGAAAACAACATATGCCTTCCTGTCTTTACTGGAGCTCGAATTGAAGGAGAGGATGGATCCAACTTAAAGGTGTGTTTGGTTGATTCTGAGAAGGGCGAAGTTGTTAGTTCAGGACCTGAATCCTCAGCTAAGGTGGAAATTGTAGTCCTTGAAGGTGATTTTGAAGATGAAAGTGACTTGTGGTTGTCAGAAGATTTCAAAAGCAACATTGTAAGAGAAAGAGAAGGAAAAAAGGCCCTTCTTATGGGAGATGTAGTTTTGCATCTTAAAGACGGGATTGGCATAGTGGGGGAAATTTCGTTCACAGATAATTCAAGTTGGACTAGGAGCCGTAGGTTTAGGCTTGGGGTAAGAGCCGTTGACAACTTTGATGGAGTCAGAATAAGAGAAGCAAAGACTGAGTCATTTATTGTCAGAGATCATCGAGGAGAATGTGAGTACTCTTTATGTATAATTTTTCTTCTCATGACTACATGTGATATTTATTGCAACTAAATATCATATAACAAGCCCTATTTAAGTTCTTTGATTTATTTTTCAAAGAGAGATAAAGTTGGTCCTCATTTTTCTTTCTAATTTTTGGGACGCAGTGTACAAGAAACACCACCCTCCAAATTTGTTTGATGAAGTTTGGAGATTGGAAAAGATTGGAAAGGACGGAGCTTTTCACAGGCGTTTGTGCAGAGAAAAGATCAATACAGTGAAGGATTTTCTCACACTCCTCAATCTAGATCCGACAAAGCTACGCAGTGTAATAATCATTTTACCAATTCCTAAATCTACACATCTTTGCGATCGGTATCCATTAAGCCTCTGGGTACAAAGTTTTCCACTGTCTTTTACATGAAAACTTTTGATTTCTTGATGTATTTTATCAATTAAAGGTGTCTAGACATATCCAATCCTCGTTCATATCATACAAATTTATATCCCTCACACATCTAACAATTCTCAAGCAAGCACTCCTGTCTTGGCAAATAATTAGTAGTCTTGGCTTGGGCGTGTGCAGATACTAGGCACTGGTATGTCTGCAAAAATGTGGGAAGTAACAGTGGAGCATGCTAAAAAATGTGTTCTTGATAGCAGGAGATACTTGTACTTCCCTTCTGATTCTCAGAATAAAACTGGTATTGTCTTCAATGCTGTGGGACAACTGACAGGGATTCTCTCTGAAGGGCAGTATGTCACTATAGATAAGCTGTCTGAAGCAGAAAAGGTACTTTTCTCTCATAATCTCCCGCTTCATTTCATGTTTTAACTCTCATTTCCCAGTCGCTGATAATTCTCATTAGTCCCAATTGTCCGCTGTTAGGTTGAATTTCAGTTGTCTGTAATTTCTGCGTATAAGCAAGGGGATAGCGTAGCTGCTTTTGAGGATGAAGCTTCTCTTATAGATAACTCTTCGCACTTGACAAATGCAATTTACTCCCCAAGCTCACTTAAGACCGAGGGATCCAGCGCCAATAAGGCTTTGGCTCCTCAAAAAAGTGGTGGATTTGATTACACACAAGCAAGTACCTCGTCTCCAGATATCATGTCATCTTTATATTCTGTTGGTGGGACCAGTAGTTTTGATGACTATGGCTTAGCCAGTTTTGAAAGCCTGGGGCTTAGATATGATCAAGCTCATGGTTTTCCAGTCCAAGTCACTACCTCTTTAATGACTGAAACAGACCCTATGGCACACCCTTTCGGAGATGATATGCAATTCTTTGATCCTACTGATCTTCAGTCTCATTGTAATATTCTGGATTCACAGGCAGATTTGCAGAGTGCTGTTGATGGCTTTATGCTTGCTCGTTCCACAGCCTTGGCCATGGGTAAAGCTCAAAGGCGATGGAGAAAACTGTTCAACGTCCTGAAATGGTTCATGGTGAGTAGCATCAATTCAAAAAGAAATCGAGTTGGACATAATGAAAGACACATTAAAGAGTTGTGAGAATCCAAACATGTTGTGGCTTATATAACATCTTTAGATGTATATAAAAGCAAGTTTGATGAGATGGGATATGTTGCTAGCCAGATGTCAGAGGAGCGATCTTTTCCTTGTGGTTGTATCAAGTTAACTTGTAAATAACTTTAGTAGTACTCTTCAATAAGGAATGGGGTTTTCTTGGATGCTGGCACTTAACGACAAACTTGAACAGATCTGTTCTTTGGAATCGTACTTTGTTTCCTTGGTTTCAATGAGACAAGAAACCAAGCTCGTAGGAAAGGAGGTTTCTTGGACGTTGGTACCCAATGGTGGATTGCTAAAACATATAGGATCATCTTTGGCTGTGCATGAAAAAAGAAGAGAGAGATTACACGGAGAGTTATATAATACTTCTTGGTTTTTAATATAAGACCCATTTAACTACTTTGATTAGATTAAAACAGTTAGGTAAGTTAGTTAATTATAAGAAAAGTGATACATTTTTTCTAAAACATTATAATCATCTTTCTTAATATCCCATCTCCCTCTTTTACTAGATTATGGTTGAGGGAGTATCCATAGGGGTAATTTAGAGAAAATTGATAAATATGAGAAATATGTCTTATATTTAGGACTAAAACCAACTCAAGAATTGAGTCGTATATTAAGAACCGGAAGAGTATCTCAACATAACCGAATAAACAAATTAAATTTTATTTGACAAATAATCAAGATAGTGTCGAGAAATTTATGACTAGAACAAAATTGGATTGAAAATTCTTCAAACACGTGTGTAAAGTATATTATGAGTTTATTTGAAATAATTTATAAGTATTTTTTTAATAACGATTTACGAAATATATTCGATAAGGCTGCACATGGGCCAGGCCGGGTAGGACTGGCCCCTCGCCTGATGCCTAGCCTGAGAAATGAATAGGTTGGAAAATACAGCTCGTTATCCGGTTTTGCCCATGAAAAACCCTAGTAAGTTTGGGTCCAACAAATGCGGGCTGGACAGAGCAAGTTTTTGTGCCCTATAAGTTAATATACTATATTAATTAACTAATTATTTATGTCCTTCTAAATAATCTGATGTAACTTTATATTAAAATGACAACTTGGCCTTAATTTAGTTATTACTAATTAATATACTACGAAGCTACATTTTATAATAGCTAAGAGGAGTGGACTATGACAAAAAAATGTTGTTAGTATATTTTATTAAACTTAATTGCTTTTTCTAGTTTCTAAAATTTCTTAACCAAATATTAATATCTTTTTGTCCTATAACTCCCAAATACTCATAAGAGGATGGAATAAGTTATATTTAAAAAATCTTTGTTTTGGTTTAATAAATTTTTAAAGCATCTTGATCAGTTTTTAATTTTAACCAAACAAAGAGACGAAAATTTTAGAAAAACAAGAAGCAAAACAAATTTAAAAAATAACTCGATCATCCTTCCATAGGTTATCAAAGTTACACTCAAAATAAACGACATATAATTACTTATCTACCAATATACAAATAGTTAATGGTCATAATATTTGCATTAAAAAAGAGAATGGTCATATAGATCATAGTAAATGATAAGACGTCTAACTCTCAAAATCATTCAAAAATAAATAAGTATAATGTATATTGAATATTAATACAACAATAGGCTTGATTCAGAAGAGAAATATGAGATGAATAAAATATATATAAATAAAATTATGTATACTTTTATGGGTATGGCAGTATATTGTGCTCGATGCCCAACCTTGCCCGACAATCTACTAGGCCTGAACATGCCTAATATTTCTTTCGAGCCATTTTTTTTAAGGGAGGGTTGGCATTTTTTTGATGGCTTGGGCTTGCGTAACGGTAACTGGATTCTATGAACACCTCTAATATTACATGTCAACATGTTGATTAGTTTTTCAATCCACAATAAATAAATAAAATATCTGAAAGGATGACTTAATGTGGAATAAGTACTTTATGTTCATCAATTAAACACATTTTTTTTCAATTATGTATAGTCTAAAAAGTGTGTATAACTTGTGCTGGTAAAAAAAAAAGTGTGTATAACATGTAAATGATACTATCTCTGGTCCTTAATATAAGATCTTGTTTGAATTTTGTGTTAGTCCTAAATATAAGACCCCAATATATTTTGTCTCTCATATTTACTTAATTTTTTCTAAGATAATCCTTCTAATAATTATAGTTTTAGACAACATACTTGATTAGTAAGGATATTTTAGGAAAGACAACACTTATTTATTACAAATAACTAACTTAATTTTTTTTTAATTTTTTTAAACTAGTCAATTGGGTCTTATAATTAGAATTAGAGATAGTATATTATTTGGGCTTTAGCTCAGCTTGGTTTTTATTCATTTGGTCTTCTCAGGCAGGCCCTTTTTCTTAAGCTCAGCTCCTCCTTCTCGGACTCCCGAAGTCTGAAACTGAATCAAATCAACGCAAATTGCAACTATGGCGTTCTTCTTGAACAAAACAGGGATTGCTTCCCATTTCCGATCTCATTCCCAGGTCTTATTATGCATTTCTGTGTCAATAGATAGCGATCTTATTGTGGAATTAGTTTTTAAAATAAAATTTGAGCTTGTCCCATTGCTATCTCATTTGATTTTTCTTCTATGCCGAATCTCTTGAGTGAGCAGAAGACGGAAGATTCGCTTTCCCTCTCGCGCCGTGGATTCCACGTTGAACCCGGGCTTCGTGAAAAAGCCGTAAGGCGTAGAACTTTCGCTCTTTTTCTATTTTGCACGTATATAAATAACCTAGAATCATTCATGTTCTTTTGCGGTATTGTATTATTGGGTATTTGATTCTCCCGAGTCATTTTCGTTTTGAGATGATCCCTGCAAGAAATAAAAAAAGAAAAATTATCTTTAGAAATTTCAATTAATGCATTTTTTTTAATTGAATAATGTGAGGCTGTAGTAGGCAAATTGCTGCAATGAGCTTTTCATTCTGGGTCGAAACATTTGCAGAGTTCCTTAAAACGCTGTCTGCCGAGTTCCTTTCTGTATTGCAATCCAGTAGTTTTACTATGAACTTCTTCATTCGCTAGAATGTGATATATGAATTATCTTGCATTTCCTTTTTTTGGAACTTCTGTTAGGTCAAGTACCCCCTCGAGCCTTTAACAAAGACGCATTATTGCCTAAGGAAATTAGTTGACCTTGAATAATACTGAACGTATTTCCATAAATGTTAGTTTTCTTCTACCACTTGGAAGGGTAATTTTTGTGAACCTTTTTTTGGCTTTATCTGGACATCCATTTATTCAAAATTCATCTTCTTGCAGCTTTTGGCTGAGGATCCATCTCTGAAGCCATTCAAATCCTATAAAAAGAGCGTTTCACGGATTAAAAGAATTGGTGATGTTCTAACGGTGGTTGTTGTTGCTGGTATGCTTTCTTTTATAATGGGTTCTGTGGAAAGGGTGACAGTTCGTGAGATTGATATGAAATGGCACGTTTTATGAGTTCCTCTTGTCCACTTGCGCTTCTACTATTATTGGTTAGAGTCATTTTTCATTATTATGTTTTATCATCTTTCATGTGAAGCATAACTTGAGACACTAATTCACTAAAATGGGACTTTCTTTGTCTCTCTTTAAACTATACCAGCTGAATTAGAATGGTCTGAACCAGAACAAAGTGTTTCATTAAATCCCTAGTGATCAGGGAATCTACCATGACACTTATTCAATTGCTGGAACAAAACTGCTTCATTTATAAGTAGGGTTTTAGGTTTGTTGAGTATAATAAATACTGAAACTGATAAGTGTTTGATGATATTTTTTTAATAATTTATAAACCAAATGATGTTTGAAGTGAAGTCCTTTTAGTCTAGAAGCATCTTTGAATAGTGCTGAGGAAGTGTTTCATAGTCTCTCTTCCTTGATGTATGTTCTTTCTTTCTTTTCTTTGTTTTTGGCCCCGGTGATGTTCTTACTGTGTGTTCTGGAAGTGGATGTATGTGTCTTACCACGCTGGTCATTTTGTCAAATTTAAAATTGTAGCATCTTTTACTATGAGGTCGAAGGCTAGTCTAGCAGGGAAGATTTTCCCTCATGTTTATGAAAGGATCTGGAAAATTTCAGCCTGTTCCAGTTTTTAATGGAGATGGGAATTCTCAATCATTGTCCATTCATGACAAATTTAAGTCCTTGAAAGTGACATCCGTATAGTCAGAAACTGATTCGATGGCATCAAGAACTCATGAATGTGCATACCCTGGTGCATCCATGTCACTTTTCCAGTGGCAACCTTTCCACTCCCTAATTGAAGAGGGTGCGGATTTAGATTGGATAAACATGGGCATGACTCCCATAATGTTTCAAAGATTTCATTATTGCTTTTGATAGATTGTAATAACATTCAGGAGTTAAATTATCCACAAGAAGGGAACTTTGAAGCCATACGGCAGTAATGTTTCAAAGATTTCATTATTGCTCTTGATAGATTGTAATAGCATTCAGGAGTTAAATTGTCCACAAGAAGGGAACTTTGAAGCCATAGGGCAGTTAATGAAATGTGATGAATTCTTCTTGTATAGTCTCTCTCTCTACCCCTGTGTGTGTGTGTTCTCCTTTTATGACGTCTTAGATATTTAAATATTTTTTTTCCTTTTTAAATGTCTCAGGATGCTGTTATGAAATATATGTCAGAGCTGTTATGAGAGAAGAAGCTCGGAAGCAGGCAAATGCTGAAAATGCATGAAACGAAAATTGTGGTTTTAGTTTTTTTTTACTATTCTGTGAACAATATGACCTGTTATGAGTAGCCAAATATTCGAATAAGCAGAACAGTATTCGAACCCAAAATGCTGCACCTCAATAGCTTATCCGCCGTCTGAGATGCATGCTTTTCAATGATGAACGTTGAGACTTGGGAGATATATTCTGGTTTCATGTATTTGTGGTGTTTCCTACCATCAAATTTGAAAGGAAGGAATTGGTCATTTGTGAGGCGTGCAGAGCAACATTACAGTTATTCTAATTGCTTCCGGTGCTATATTATGTTCTCAGATGAAATTAATCATTTTGGAATTTTAATTTGGCTCCTGTACCTAATTTGTCTTTTCTGCCGTTAAAACCAGTGATTACCGTATCCTAGTTGGCTGACGGATCACATCTATCATTCACACCACAAGATGACGACGTGTACCATTTTTATCACACGTTACAACTGGATCGGCCTTCTTTCCCCGCTTTAACTTGAAGTCTTTTTCCTTCCTTATTTCACTTCCTCACCCCCCTTTTTTCCTTGTTAATAAGAAATTAATAGAAAGCGACCCCCCCCCCCCCCCCACCTTTTCTTAATTCGACATTTCTACTGGGCACGACGAAAATGAAATATTTGAATTGCAAGAAATTTTACCTATATCACAGCTATTCATCTAGATTTTAGACGTGAACGAATCTCTGAAAAAGAATCCTGGTAAAGCGAGAATACGAATGGTTTGGGGGGACTCGAAACCTCGCCCGTTCATAGAGGAAGAGCTCATGTTCACGTCTTTTTCCTCTGAAGTTGTTTTATTCTCGTCTTTTTCCAAGCTTGGGAGAAGTGGGCAATTCAACCCGCTCCGTCCAAGACCAATTTGTGTACTGTCTTTCTTAATTGGCGTGTGTTCTTTTCTTTTCTTTTTCTACCTTGAAGCCGTGCATCTTGCCAAAAAGAATTTATGATTTTAACGGGGACCGTACTCAAAGCTTTTATTTTAAAAAGAATGTGAAATGCCGTTGAGATCACCCATCGTCTCCGGTTTATTATTTCACCGTTATTTAACAGGGACCATACACGAAGCTCTTATTTAAGAATAAATAGATAGTGTATTCAAGTTGTGTGTGGGTCTCACAGACCTTAACGTAGTTTAATGGTATTATTTGAAGACATGTCTGACCCAAACTGGATGCTTTGACGAAATTTCCTCAACCTCAACTTAAAAGCAAAAGGGTATGTATTTGTTCGTCGTATGAATTGTCAATATCACGTAGAGTACACAAATCATACTTTCCATTTTTCAGTATAACTTGGTGGCAATCTATATTTATACACATTATACCATGAATTTTTGAACACTTTCATCGTATTTTAAATTACTGGTTTGGACTATCATCTGCATTATTTTGTGTTGTTATAACTTTTTTCCCCAGATAATTTTATCGTGAGCAAATACTTCGCTTTGACTGAGTTGTCGCGTGGTGGTTGGTGGTTGGGCCACGGCTGATGTTGGCTGTGAAAGATTGAAATGGAATTGGTGAATCATGCTTGCAATGATGCATCCTCTCTTTCTCACTGTTTGAATCTTTCTTTTTTTCTTTTTAAATTTCTGGGGCCATCGTCTCAGATTTTATAATAATGACAATTTTATAATGGAATTGTACCTCATTCCCAGATTGCCATCATTCCCCCAATACCATGTGTTGCCTTTCCCGCTAATAAAAAATAACTCTTCTATTTTTAATTTTTCCATTACATATTTAAAATTATCATTTTTTCCCTAAAAAATACCTCTGAAAAGCCTTTTCTTTTCGGTCTTCATCCACTATGTATTAACAAAAGGGAAAAACTTTACTGGTAGAACCCACTTTGTATTTATAGTTTTGATCCTTAGAATAAAAGGGAAATTTTAACATGTTTATTTTATTTCTCTGTATGAATATTTCTCTTGGGTTACACTAACAGCAATCAGCTGTGCGCAAGACTATGCAGCCAGAAAAACTCAGCACCCGGAGGAGCACGGAATGAGAGACACGTGGCTTCATTGAGGATACTATGGTCATTTGAGTAGGGCTGTCCCAAAGAATTCAACGATCTCATTTTTTTCTTTCGTTTGCAATCCTAGAACGTAGACCCATGATCACCCATTTGTTGGCTGACTTTCTCAGACTTGTAAATTTAGCAGCACAGGGTTCTGAAACAAACAGTGTATCTTTCTCTTTCACTGAAATATTGCTCTGCCCACTTGATTTGAAACCTCCAAGTCATAATTTTGAGTCTTGTTTTTGAGATGGCAACGTTTGCAGGTACTACCCAGAAGTGTAAGGCCTGTGAGAAAACAGTTTATTTGGTTGATCAGCTCACTGCTGACGACAAAGTTTACCACAGATTTTGCTTCAGATGCCATCACTGCAAGGGTACCCTCAAGGTATATTGCTTCTGAAATTTAGATTTCAATGTTCATTGTTTTTCATGGACATCCTCAATCTTGTGTTAATCAGAAAGCAAACATCTTTATCTCTCCAATTTGGTGTTGTGTTATGAGTGGCAACCACCTTTTGCTTCTGTTAAATCGCCATCTGATGATTTGTATGGTGAAAACTTGTGGAGTTCACCTTAGGATGCCGTCTTTTTTCTTATGGGCACAAGAGGTTAGAATATGTATATGATTCATTCATGTCATAAATTCGTTTATCTTGTGCAATCGTTATGATTTTACCTTCCATAAGGAGTAGGAATTTCTGGGGCAACTTTCTGATTGTCATGTCAAACTATTTAGATGATTCTCCAGCTCCACTCTTTGCTTTTATTGCTTGATGGTCTTGCTATATTCTCATTGCCTTTTGGGTCCCTGCAGCTGAGTAATTATTGTTCCTTTGAGGGCGTTTTATACTGCAAGCCTCATTATGATCAACTCTTAAAGAAGACTGGAAGCTTAGAAAAAAGTTTCGAAGGTCAGTGAGTTCTTGCTATTTGATCAAGTCCATTACATTTCCACTTCGTTTTGGTACTAACATATACCGTGTTAAGTTCATTCCAAGTTACTCCTTTGATCGTTAATATAAGACTTATTTAACTAATTTAATTAGATTAAGAAAGTTCGATAAGTTAGTTAATTATAAGAAATATGACATGTTTTCCCTAAAATATCATAATTATTTTCCTTAATACCCTTACTCTTTTTCTATTTGATTATGATTGAGAGAGTATACACAAGGGTAATTTAGAAAAAATTGATAAATATGAGAAATATGTTTTATATTTAAAACTAAAATCAACTTAACAATTAGGTCCTATATTAAGGATTGGAGGAGTAATTTTCATTCATTCCTCTCACTTGTTTGTATACATATATGTAGGTATTCAAGAACTGCTAGAGTTGTCAGGTCTGCTGATCAGGTATTTACACATTCTTGAGAGATACCATATTGATATTAGGACTGTTTCTGTAAATGAAGGCCCTCTGTATCCTAAATATATTAAATTTTCTTGACAGGCACAAACCAACGGCAAGGTTTCTAGATTATTTGTTGGAACTCAGGACAAGTGTGTTGCTTGCAAGAAGACAGTCTACCCAATAGAAAAGGCATGTGGCGCTATATATACTTCAATATTTCTCATAATATTCTAATGACCTTTAATTTGTTTTTGGAGTCTTGTACTTTAGAAACTACTACAATATACTACTACCTCCACTTCTAATTCTAAATATATGAGCTAGTTAGGGTTGGATTTGATCCCAAATATAAGACTTCAATCCACTTTATCTTTCAAATTTATAATGTTTTCTTCAAAATATTCATATTGATTGTAAGGGGTTTCACCAAGAAGTAGTGCTAATATACATAATTAAATAGGGTAATTTAATAAAATCAATATATACTTGTTATAAATAACTAACTTAACTAACTTTTTTAATCTCCCCAACTTAATTATTTAGCTTTTAGAATCGGAGGTGGTATTTATTAGAAAGAACTTTGCACATTTATAGATAAGATAACTGATTTAATTAAGGATTATCATTAGACATTCTAGGCATCAGTACTCTTTTCCCCCGTAAGAAACCCTCAATCAGTAATGAAAATAGTACAAACTCAACCTGTGAGAGCAGTTTTTTTTTTTTTTAAAAGATGTAAACTAATTAAGACTGATCAACTAAGCTCTTATAGCATATTCTAAAACCATCAGTAAAAGACATGGTACTCATTCTGAGACGTGTTCATCCTAAGGACAATCATAAATGAATAGCTAACCTGGTTTCAAAACTGTCTCTATGAGGCACCATTTTCAATTTGGGAGAAAACGGCTTGAGTTAAAATATCCGACAGAATAAGTCATTTTAGGTTCTGGGACTTTCGATTAGCATTGTCCGGTGTTGTTGCCATAGTTTTCAGTTGGTGAAGCTTTGTTAGCTCAAAGTCCACTATATGTATTTGTCACACGGATGACAGGTGAAAGATGATCAATTGGTGTGGCGTGATGGAGAAAGGAGGAAGAGACAAACCGACAGACATATTCATCCACCCACACCCACACGCGCACACACACACACACACACTGGTGTTCAAAGTAGCAGGTCGTGTCAATTGTTGGAACAGTATCATGTTTTACAACATATAATAATGCGCTTTATTCACGTTGTCTTGGGGTCCAACTGTTTCCAATTTAACTGATGACACTGTCCATTATGGCTGTCCTTCAGGTGACCGTTGACGGGAAATCTTACCACAAGATTTGTTTCAGATGCTCCCACGGAGGATGTTTGATCAGCCCTTCAAACTATGTGGCCCATGAACACCGTCTCTACTGTAGACACCACCATACTCAGCTCTTCAAGCAGAAGGGTAACTTCAGTCAGCTTGACCGCCATGAAAACGAAATTAAACATGAAAACCAAAATAAACATGAAAATGGAAACACAAACGAAAACGAAAATGGAAATGTCCAGGAGGTTACTGAGAGCACAACAACTGAGTAGTTAATACTATGCTGTTTTCACCTTCCAGTGGCAGATTGTGACTCTATTTAGAGGCATCAGAGCATTTTGCTTTGTTTATTACACGTATAATAATATGTGTGAGGCGAAATTGTAATGAGTTTTGTGTGGCAAATTTTTGATGGTGAGATTTGAGAAACAACTAGTATATGGTTGGAGTGATTTTATGCTTTGACTAGGTGCTAGTTTTGACGACTTTGCTAAATTGGAGTTTTGCTCTCTTGTATTATTGACTGTATCTTTCGGTGCTTACATGTATACACTTCTTCCTGTCTAAGAAATAAGAATTTGCCAGATGAGAAAATTCAATTCTGATCATTTGATGCCCTGCAAAAAGACTAAAAGGACACTGTCTTTTATCATTTATTTCACTTTCTCTAATTCCTAAGAAAAACACAGGATACAATAAAGTGGGTGACACAGAGGATGCATGCATTTCCTTTCTTTGTAGGGAGAATTACAATGAGGTCCCAAGTAATTAAAAAACAAGTCCCAGAAGATGTCATTCTCACTATAGGACTTGTTATTACAGACTGCTCAGATTGTTACTTGGGACTTTGTAGTGATTATTTCTCTTATGTGGGATTTGAATGTAATTCTCCCTTCTTTGTATTCTTCATGGGGAACTGTGCTGTTAGAGAGATAAGCTCATGAGCCAAACATGCAATCTGGAAAAGAGAGGGAAAAAGCAAATATTGCTCTAATTTGCATGCGTGTCTTCCATGATTGTTGATGATAGAGAAGGAAAAAGGAAAGGGGGGAAAATAGACAAACAAGAAAGCAAGAATTGCCCCATGTTGTGGATTTTTTAAACAATGACAAATCACTTTGTGGAGAAAAAGTTACAGAAGCCAAACTTGGTGGGCCTTCCCTGAAGGAACTCTATGCAATTTTTTTTATCAATAGAATCAGCAGACCCCTCGTGCAGTGCAGCTAACTTTTATGCTCAAGAAGTGCACGAGTGGTGAGCTGGTTGCAATTGTCCTCTTCTATAAGATTAATTGACTTGAAGCAATAACTTTAAGTCATTAAAAATTAAAAGGGGAATATAAAAGGCAAAGCAAGCAAGAAAAGGGGATCTTTTGCTTTACTAACCATAGACATATAGTGAGAGTGAGGGACTAATAATTCAATGGGCCATGAGAATTATTCTTCTGCTTCTAACGCAACAAAAAGATCCCTGGGTGTCATGCATGTTTTAAAGTGATAAAAACTGCTCCAGCACATTGATTGCTCGTATTTTTAAAGTGATTTAACCCTTTTTTTCACCTCTCGATTACACTCCTAATTATTTTTACCATGCAGCTTTTTCGTCATTAAAAGTTAATGGCAGCATCCACCATAGTGCTCCAGATTATTGAGTTAGTTATATTATTTGTATGATCTGTGAGCTTTACTTCTGTGTTTTTTAATATCTAAAAGAAAAGGGGGTTTCTGAAGGTTTAAAGAATTTTCAGAGTTTCATTTTGCACCCTCATAATTTAGGAGCCAACTTGCTCTTGTCTGGCAAATAATGGATCTGACCCCATCTCATCAGGGAACCAGTAGCCGTTGTTTGGTTCCTAGAATTTAAGGCTCTGTAAATATCTCTGTATTGACCGCTTTGACCAATTCATAGCCATATCTTTTGATCTTTGTAATTAATGTGTCAGATGAATGTGCCGATGGATCTGAGCCATAAACATGAAGAACAGAATAATTGGCACTGAGAGCGATTGTGAGGGTTGTGATGGCGAAACCCAAGTTATTCATTAGAGAGTGAAGGGAAAAAAAAAGACGAAAATTGGATTACATACATAAAACTGATGTTGAGATTGGATATGTCAAACTTTGCTATTCACAATTAAGCATATGACATGATGAGATTCTTCAGTAGTTGAACTGAAACTTTTAATGTCTCATGGATGTACTTCCTATATTTTAATTCCCAAATGATGGAGAGGGGAATAAATGCTCTGCTCAGATGCTCTTCTGTCCCTCACGTTCATGTGGGCTAGGGCTTGAAAAACACAGATCAGCTGGCTGACTCTGAAATACTCAGTAAAGAAGGTTGCCACGTTCTTGACTTGTTAGCTGTGATACTCCCACTATTAGTTGATGCTGCTGTCCTTGGCCTCTGTCTCTCAGCTTTTATTACCTGAACATCAAATTTTGTATTTAGTTATTTACTATTCTCTTCTTCTCTCTCTTCTCCTCTTCATGAAGAAAATCCAGAAACTAACAAAAGATTCATGTATTCTTTTTTCCCCAACTTGCTATAATTTTATGTGTATCTAAGCCTACTGGGGCGGCGGGGCAAAGCAGGGAAGAATCAAGCGTACAGAAAGACTAATTATGCTATAATTAGTATGAATGATTTGAATCAGAATCAGTAACAAATCAAGCCTCTGAATCAATCTAATACTTGACTTTACTGTTTATGCAAATGATGTTCCGTGAAGAACAGTTGAATGACACAAGCAGAGGAATTACATCAAACATCCTGCAAAGTATTCTAATTCTAGAATATTTTGAGAAAGCCATGGCTAAAATCAAAGATCTTGTGGCCGAGATTTACCTGCTTGTCCTCAGTCTCAGACCTTCTTGCTGCTTTATCTGTCTCCAAACCTTCTTTTCCCTTCACCCAATCTAACTTCTGCGAAGAATCTGTCATGCTTTTCTGCATCTTTGCATGTTTCTTTGCCAACAGACCCTTCATAACCTCTGAAAAACAAAACCCAATTAGCACAAAAGAACCAAACTGGGAACAGAAAAAAGGAAGGAAGTAGAAAAGAAGAGCAAAGACTGAAACTTGAAACTGACCTTGAGTAGATATGAGTCTGTAAACTTGACCAAGAAGGAGTGTATCGGTGGGCTTGAGAAGCTTGATGCGAGTAATACGAACAGGGTTGTTGATGGGGTTATCGTTATTCTTATCATGACATTTTTCTCTGTCCTGAGAAGGACACAATGTGGAGGAGATGAGAAGAGCAACATAGTGACCAGGGTTGGTCTTCATAACCTCACCGGCACTCACAGGCCAATACAACCTTTCTGCTTTCCCATTCGGTTGCTGAATTACAAGAGAAGCTGAATCAATGGCCTGGCAGTTTCCCATCGTCTTCTTCTTCTTCTTCTTCTTTTCTCTCTCACAGCAACAAGGTACGGAAGGTGGTAGGTGGGGGGTACTGGTCACGTTCTGCGAGGAGCAAGCTGATACCCCTTGGAAACCATAAATACTGGTTGATAGGTTGCTTTTACATTACAAAGGTCCAAACTTTATAGCACTAGCCACTTCAATTATTATTATTATTATTCTTTTAAATTAAAAGGAAAAGGCGGATTTTTTTGGGGGAAGAGATAGAATGGAACCCAAATTGGGGAGTGTAAGGTAGAAGCTGAGAGAGAGCAGGACACGAAACGAAAAAGGAATGAAGGTTTTCTCCAACACGAGCTGACGTGGAGGGCAGCAATTGGGTGGCGATGGAAACACGCTAAAATAAAGAGCCGACCTCGGCTGCTCGGCCTGATGTAATGTGCACCACTTACAACGTACATTCTCTTCCTCTCATTTTTCCGTTTATAACGTCTCGCCAACAAAATTTACCTCGCCTTTTAACCTTTCTATTTTCCATTTGTTCACTAAAAATACAATAAATAATTATCAGTGTAATATAATATTATAAAACTTGAAACACGCATAACCCTATAGCACCATTGCCAAGTCTAATCCGAATAACGAGACTTGTATCAAATTCTGTGTAAATACACGACACTCAATTTAAACTATATTAGCTTTTAACCTTCCTTTATACTACTTTCTCTTAATTATAAAAACTAGTTGATTAATTTAAAAATATTAAAAAAATAAGTTAAATTAGTTATTTGTAATAAACAGGTGTTGTCTTTCTTAAAATATTCTTACTAATTAAGTGTGTTGGTTAAAATTATCTTTATTAGAAGGATTATCTTTAAAAAAAATATAAATACTCCTCCTGTCCTTAATATAGGACCCAATTATTGAGTTGGTTTTAGTTCTAAATATAAAATCCACTTCTCATATTTATTAATTTTCTCTAAATTACTCATATGGATACTCTCTTAACCACAATCAAATAGAAGAAGGAAATGAGGTATTAAGAAAGATGATTATGGTGTTTTAGGAAAAACGTATTACATTTCTTATAATTAATTAACTTACCTAATTTCTTTAATCTAATCAAATTGGTTAAATGGGTCTTATATTAAGAACCGAAAGAGTATTAGAGATAAAGTAGATTGAAATCTCATATTTAGAATTAAAATAAAAACCAAATAAGGTTTTATAATAAAAGTCGAAGGTAGTACTCTCTTTATAAAAATTTTGAAATATGGCAATCAGAACCCCCTACTTTTTTTTCGAAGAAAATGTAGTGTGTGGAAACGGCGAGATTATGCTAGAAAAATACAAGCTTTTTATTTTGGGAGGTGGGTCAAAAGGTAGGGATGATTCGGTTGAATTAAAAATGTGGGATGATGAATGATTGAAATTTGGGGGTGTTTTTGGTAACTTGGGTGGGGAAGAGATATGATTGGTGTGTTTAGGGGTCAAACAAGGCATAACAACTAGCTAGCTAGTTGCATCCATATGGTTGACACCTAATCGGCTTCAAAATCTCCCAGCTTTGCGCCCAAATTTCACCCCCTTTCATCATTCCGCCTTTAATCGGATCACAAGGACGGATCCCTAACAGTACCTTCCAAATCTCTTTTGACGGTGCAATATTTTCCCTCCTTTTCAATTATATCACGACTATAACATTGCTTTTTTGTAGTAAATCCCTTTGTTTCTTTTCCCAAGACATACCTCTCTTATCTTATTTATAAATTATTTGCAACATGTTTTACATAGATAAATTTTTTTTAAATTTTATTAATCTTATTTAAAATTTATCAACTTTTTAACTTTATTCTTATTTAATATGCATTATACTTTATGTAAATAAAGTCAATAATAAATAAGGGGTAAAATTATACTTTTATATAAAAAATTTCTTTCAATGCCCTGTAAATAGGATAAAAAAAACGTCTTCTCTTTTTACCTTATATATAGGATCAGAAAAGTATTATATATATTTATTTAGTGAAATATCTGATTTTATTAAGAGGATGTGAATTATTTAAATTAATTTGAAAATGTAAATAATTTAACATTATTTTTTTAATAAAATTTTTTGTCCAAATTAGTCCTTTTTTTTTTTTGGGAAAAACGAATGGAAGATTTGTAGTATAAAAGAGTCAGAAAACATTTATATCAAACCCCTCCAACTCCAACCAATCCCTTCCCCCGCTGTGAAGCAAGATTCTCCTTTAGATTGTAAAAATTGGATATTAAGGACCGGAGGAGCATTTGAATTATGTAATTTGGAGCTTAATTAGGTTACTTAGACACTTAATTCCAGTAGGAGTAAGGCGGAACGTTTTGCCGGCTGCAGCAACGGGCGATGGGGGGAAAAAACGGAAACCGTTTGGCGTTTGGGGTGGACCCCAGAAATGGATGAGGAGCCTATAGGGCCGTCACTGGACGCTTCATGGGCTGTTTTCGCGTGGTCCCCCGGAACCCGCCTGGCCCATACTTCTGCCTCTTCCCACTTCCACATTACCCCTTATTATGCTACGTGTCGTGTCCCATGCACGTAATGTTGTTTCTCTCTCATTATTGTCTTTTTCAAATCCGGATCCATTTTCTACATAAAATCACATTAATTGAATTGAATCTGGTCATATTATGTGTTTCACACTGTGATAACCGTGTTATGACGAACATATCATGTTTGGCAGTAATTTTGATTGAATTCCTAAAGAATTATCTCATAATTCGTACTCGCATATGATTCTTTTAAACTCAAAACTCACATAAATTTTTTTCTAAAAAAATAATTATCTCTGATATTTAATATAAGAATTAGATAACTAATTTATAAATATTTAAAAAAATTAATTAAGTTAGTTATTTATAATAAATAGATATGTTAATGTCTAAAATATTTTTATTAATTATGCATATGAAAATAAATCGTTAATAAAATTTTTTTTAACAATTTGTAATGATTATAAGATTTAAAAGGGACAAAATAAAAAATAATAATAATATATTGAAGACAAAGTAAATCTTAGTCTTATATTTTAACTAATTTACTTTTATATTAAGTACTAAAGTGAAGTTAATATCATGTTTTCAAATACATTATAAATCCCTTTTAATGATAAGTTGTCTTTACACACGACATCAGAATCGAAACCTCTATCAACTTAGCCTTTTCATTTAGTTGTGTCTTTTTAAAAATTTGGGCGTGAGGTTTAATGGTTCCCAACATGAAATCGAATGTGCTCCTAACCTACTTTTTAAAAAGATGTCAAAAGCAAACAGACAAAGAAAGAAATTAAAAAAAAAATGCCATCCATGTAATTTTCTTCCAAAACCCGTGCTCTAAATGGGATTTTTTTTTTGAACAAAAGCTCTAGATGGGATTTTATTATTGAATCAGTGTTTAATATGAACTTCATTATTCTCACATTACCGTCGTTAATAAAATCCCCCCGCAGAGTAAGAATTAAATATATTCATAATTTTTTAAAAAAAAATATTACGAATAAATTTTTAGGACCTGATCTTCATTTTCATTAAAAAAATGAAAATAATAAGGGCTGAAATTGGGTTAATAATAATAATAGCAGTAGTAATAATAATAAATCAAATACAACGAATGTATATATAAAATCGAGAAAGAGGGAGGGGCAAGGCCCCCAAAAAGGGAAAGAGGGAGGCGATATCATTCGGGTGAGGGGGGGACCATGATAAGGAGCAGTGATTGGTTGTCACGTTGAGGAACAGAAGATATTCCGTGTCTCATCTACACCATAGTCCTTCTGATTTCCTGTCTTCCAAACCTCCTCTCTCCCCACCCCACGAATTCACCCCCAACCTTTCTCATTTTTTTTTTTCAGAATTAATTTTAATTTTTAAGTAGGTTGAATGCATTACGCAAATAGGAGAATTACAAATTAAATCCAAAAACAGAACATATTGTTATAAAATCTTAATAACAACTGAAGAGCTTATAATGACAGATTTTATAATAAGAAATGATAGCTTCTTACTTGTTATTAAAATATTTTAATAATTATTTTCTTTTTCTGAGATTTTATTGCAATTCTTTTTGGACACATTTCTCATATCTGGTCCTTTTTTTAAAAAAACAATAATATTTTAACAACGCAACTTGAGAAATCTGTCCCCATCAAGAGATCTCAACAGCGTTTACTTAGGTGTATTTTTTTTCAAAATTACAAATCTCTGATCTCCATGTACATATTAAATATCAGCTCAGTTGGAAGAAGATGCTGAAAAATAGTTTTTTCAAGGAACATAAATATAGATAATAGATCAGTATAAATACCTCTGCTTAAGATAAAAATTAAGAAAGTTCAAGTTGTAATAAATACGATTTGTAAAGTGGGTAGGAATCTAGAATCTAATTAAATGAAAAGTTTGGATATAAATTTGAAGATGCAATGAAAGGTATCCAGTCACGTGAAGTTACAACATTCATAGCATCGAATCCCTTTTTTAAGAGATTCACATCTATCTTGTTCCGCCCAAATCAGTGGTTGGCAGCATAATATCACAACACATCTTTTTTTTTTTTTAAAAAAAAAGAAATGTAACATATTTATTGAAACAATAAATTTGCTTAAGAAAATGTGTAAAATATGAAAAATAAATTATATACACACACATACTGTGAATTAATACAAATAAAGTGAGATATAGTGTGTTTGGATGAAACAAAACCGTGGTTTGAAAAAGTAATTCTGGAGAATAGATTTTGGGGAGAATAGATTCTGTGAAGAATAGATTTTGTAAAAAAGTGATTCTAAGAAGTGAGAGTGTTTGGATAGTTGTTATCAGAAGCACTTTTTATATATACAAATTACTAAAAAAAAGACATAAGTTAATATGATAATTACAGAAAAAATAGATTTTATGATATATTTTAATTTGAAGGAATAAAATTATTAATAATATATTTTTTACCAACATAATTAATAATACATAAGATAATATAATTAATAAATAATTAATGTGTATATATATTTATAAAATATAAGATTAAATACGTTTATCAAAAAAATGTTTATAAAAAAAATAACAAGATACATATCATATAGGCTCTCA